CAGTATAGCATCCTTTCCACAAGTTTGTAGCATCTTTTTCAGTGCTGGGCACTATCATTTCAAATATTTGGTAAGAAGAAAAATATTATCTTGTTTTAATTTTAATTCATTACCAGTGAGAACAAATTTTCCCCATATGTTTATTAGCTATTTGCAATTACTTAAAATCTTATATATCTTTTTGCCAATCTTTTCCTGAGATACTAATTTTTTAAATATCTATATGTGTTCTTTATGATGAAACGAGCCAATAGTTACTGAGCACTTACTATGGTCATGTGATTCTTGTCTTTCAGTTTGTTTATGTGATGTATCACGTTTATTGATTTGCAAATATTGTAGTAGCCTTTTATCCCTGGAATAAATCCCATTTGGCCATGATGTATGATTTTTTAAATATATTGCTGAATCTGATTTGCCAATATTTTGTTGAGGATGTTAGCTTATATGTTGGATAGGGATATTGGCCTGTAATTCTCTTTTTTGTATTGTATTTTGTTTTGGAATTAGGATAATGCTGGTCTCATAAAAAGAGCTTGGAAGTGTTCCTTCCTTTGGGATTTTTTTTTTTTTTGGAATAGTTTGAGAAGTATAGGTGTTACTTCTCCTTTAAATGTTTGGTAAAACTCCCCTGTGAAGCCTTCCGGACCTAGGCTTTTGTTTGCTGGGATTTTTTGTTATTATTATTACTGCTTCTATTTCCTCAATTGTTATTTATCTACTCAGGCTTTCTAATTCTTCCTGATTCTGTTTTGGAAGATTGTATTTTTCCAGGAATTTGTCCATTTCATCCACATTCTCAAACTTGTTGGGATACAGTTGCTCATAGCATTGTCTTACAATCCTTTGTATTTCTGTGATATAAGTTGTTACTTTTCTTTCGTTTCTGATTTTAATTATTTGGGCCCTCTCTGTTTCTTGATGAGTATGGCTAAAGATTCACCAATGTTTTTTTTTTTAATCTTTTCAAGCTCTTGGCTTCATTGATATTTTTGTATTGTTATATATTTTAGCCTCTATGTCATTTCTTTCTGCACTAATCTTTATCGTTCCCTTCCTTCTACCTACTTTGCACTTTGCTTGTTATTTTCTTTCTATTTCTTTAAGTTTTTTTGTGTGTGTTTTTAGTCTCTATGTCATTTATTTCTGCTCTAATCTTTATTATTTCCTTCCTTCTGCTTACTCTGGGCTTTTCTTGTTGTTCTCTTTCTAATTTTCTAAGGTGTAGGATTAGATCATTTATTATCAATTTTTCTTGTTTTTTGTTTTTGTTTTTTTGAGGTAGGCCTGTAGTGCTATGAACTTCCCTCTCAGGACTGCTTTTGCTGTGTTCCAGAAATTTGGGATTGTTGTGTGTTTTTTTCATGTTTCCAGGAAGATTATGGCTTCTTTCTTGATCTCATTGGTAACCTATTTTTTGTTTAACAACATGCTACTCAGCCTCCATGTGTTTGAATGTTTTTGAGTATTTTTACTGTAGTTGATTTCTAATTTCATTTTATTGTGATCTGAGAAGATGCTTGATATGATTTCAGTCTTCTGGAACTTGTAGAGATTTATTTTGTATCCTAACATGTGGTCTACCATTGTAATGCATTGAATTGGATTGAATTCCATATGCACTTGAGAAGAATGTATATTCTGTAGCTATGGAGTGAAACGTTCTATAAATGTCAATTAAATCCATCTGATCCAGTGTGTCTTTTAGAGTCACTGTCTCCTTATTATTTTTTTATCTGGAAGATTTATTCAGTGAAGTCAGAAGGGTGTTAAAGTCCCCTACTATGACTGTATTGTTGTTGATCTCTCCCTTAAAGTCCTCCAGAAGCTTTTTTATATATATTTAGGTGCTCCTATATTGGGTGCATATATGTTTGCCAGAGTTATATCCTCTTGTTGGATTGATCCCTTTAGTATTATGTAGTGACATTACTGTCCTTGTGATGGCCTTCATTTTGAAGTCTATTTCATCAGATATGAGTATTGCCACCCCAGCTTTTTTTTTTTTTTCATTTCCATTTGCATGAAAATGTTGTGGTTTTTTGTTTGTTTGTTTGTTTTTTTTACCATACCTTCACTCTCATGCTGTGTGAGTCTTTTGTTCTGAGGTGGGTCTCTTGTAGACAGCATATATTTTGGTCATGTTTTCATATCCATTCAATAATCCTTGTCTTTTGATTGGAGCATTTAATCCATTTACATTTAAGGTTATTATTGATTATTGCCATTTTAATTCTTTTAAAAATATATTTTTATGAATTTCAGAGAGGAAGATGGGGAGAAATAGAAACATCAATGGTGAGAGAGAACCATTGATCAGCTGCCTCCTGCACGCCCCCTGCTGGGGATCGAGCCTGCAACCCCGGCATGTGCTCTTGACCAGAATAGAACCTGGAACCCTTCAGTCTGCAGGCCGATGCTCTATCCACTGAGCCAAACTGGCTAGGGCCCATTTTAATTCTTTACACCTATGTTTCTCTCAACATATATTTCTTCCCATTACAGCAGTCCATTTAGCATTTCTTGCAGTGCTGGTTTGGTGGTGATAAACCCCTTTAGCCTTTTTTTTTTGGTCTGGGATGCTCTTTAACCATCTATTTTTGAATGATAGCCTTGCTGAATATAGTAATATTGGTTTCAGATCCTTGCTTTTCTTTTTTTTTTCTTAATATATTTTTATTGATTTCAGAGAGGAAGGGATAGATAGAAACATCAATGATGAGAGATTATCATCGATTGGCTGCCTTCTCCACACCCCACATTGGGAGCCCACAACGTCTCCTGCTTGATATATGGTGGTTTTTTGCCTGTCTGTTTGTTTATTTTTTGTTAATACTCATCTGAGGATATCTTTTCTATTGATTTTTTAGGGAGAGTGAAAGAAAGAGGGAAAGACAGAGAGAAACATGGATGTGAGAGAAACATGGATTGGTTGCCCCCTGCAGGAGTCCTAACCAGGCCTGGGCCAGAGAGGAGCGTGTAACCAAGCTACGTGCCCTTGATCAGAATTGAACCTGGGACCCTTCAGTCCACAGGCCGAGGCTCTATCCACTCGGCCAAACCAGCCAGGGAAGACCCTTGCTTTTCATTACTTTGAATACTTCATGCCATTCCGTACTGGCCTGTAGTTTCTGATGAGAAATCAGCTGGAATCCTTATAGGAACTCCTTTGTAGATAACAACTTGCTTTTCTCTTGCTGCTTTAAGATTCTCTCTCTGTCTTTAATTTTTGGCATTTTAATTACGATGTGTCTAGGAGTGGGCCTGTCTGGGTTCTCCTTGCTTGGGACTCTCTGTGTCTCCTGAACTTGTGTGACTTTCCTTCACCAGGTTACGGATGTTTTCTGCCGTTATTTCTTCCAACATGTTCTCTATCCCTTGCTCACTTTCTCCTCCTCTGGCACTCTTATTATGCGAACATTGTTACATTTCATGTTGTCCCACAGCTCCCTTAAGCTTTCCTCCTGTTTTTTGTTTTTTCTTTTTTGTTCTCTGATTGAATGATCTTTTTTCTACTGTCTTCTAATTCACCAATCCGATCCTCGGATTCCCATACTCTGCTGTGTATTCCTTCCATTGTGTTCTTTATTAGTGCTATGTCATTCTTCATAGTTACTATATCTTTTCTCATGCTGTTGAGCATCTTTGCCATCATTATTCTGAACTCTGACAGGCTACATACTGTATGATACTCTGGAAAAGGCAAAACGATGGGGATAGTAAAAAGATAAGTGATTTCTAGGGATTGGGAGAAGGGGATGAACAGGTAGAGCACAGAGGATCTTTAAGGCAGTAAAACTATTTTAAATCTTTTTTTAATTTGAAACACATTTCCTTCTAAGTGACCTAGTGTGGGTATAAATAAGGTTGGCCATGAACTGACAGCCTTTGAAGTCAGGTGATTAGTATATGGGGGTTATTATCCTATTGTCTCTACTTTGGCTAACTATAAATTTCCTATAATTAAAGATTTAAAATCTCACTTCCTCAGAGGCTTTCTTTAACCACCCTATCTAAGGTGAATTAACTCTGCCCATGATTTTTTAGCACAGCATCCTATTTTCTTTATAGCACTTATCATGATAGTATTTTATATATTTACTAATTTATTTATTTCCACTAGAATTTAGTTTCCATAAGAATAAAAACTCTCTGCGTTGTTCATTGCTTAACTGTAGGGTTGAGGCTGGCATGCAACGGTGCTCAGTAAATCTCTGTTGCACAGAAGGATAGATGGAGAAATGGCAGGACTAAAGGATAGAAGCACAGGTTGGGGCAAGAACGAATGTAAAAATACACTTATAACAACACCCTCACCAAGAACCAAGGATCTGGTTCTCCAGAAAAGGGGAAACTTGAAAGGAAGGGAGACTCAATATCAACCCCTGGGGTCTTTGGAGCCAGGAGACTTCAGGCTTAATTGTTTCTCCAACTGTATGAGAAAAATAAACTGGACTTTTTTTTAGTAATGAACCCTTTCTTTGAATGAAATCTCCTGAAACAACCCAATATGTAAAATAGAAACACATGATAGTCAAAAGCAGATTTATTATTCTAGTCTAGTTTCAAAAAAAGAACAAGAAAATCATCCAGTGGTTATGAGGAATCCAGAAAAACCTGTCCCAGTAATGCCAACTTCGAGGTAAAGGGCTGACTAGGGCAGCTGAGAAGTGGGATTCGCCGCTTGGTAGGCTTCTTCTCTCTCATCCCATCATGGTTTTCATCTGAGAATGCTCCTGGCCCTGCTGGGGGTTTCCATGGCCCTGAGCTCATCGTTGTTTTCTGAAATCTTGATCTACCCCGTTTGAGAGAGTAGAATTCCTTCATCAAGCCCTCCACTTCCCACTGCTCTTCCTTCAGCCTCCGGCAACAGTGCAGGGCAGCAGGATCAATGGGGTGTGCTTCTGTGTTGAAGATGTATCCCCCAGCCCCCAGGATGCACTCCCCATAGGGGGTGATCACTGCATCGAAGGTGGAGCCATTGTTGTGAATAAAGTTGGTTGGGTCAAACAGAAGGTAGAGGTATTTCACAGTCTCAGCCAGGAAGAAAGACTCCATGCGGTTGTCAAGCTTGTGGTCTCGCAGATCTTTGATCTGCCGCGAGGGAGAGGAGAGCAAGTCAGAAGAATATCCCAGTGTAGCAGAAAGGGTCAGGGGACCTCGTTAGGAATTCCTGGCCTGCCACTAAGCAGCTGAGGGCCTTTGGGTAAATTATTACCACAACTTCCAACCGGGCTTCCTGCTCCCATTCTTGCCCTAAAGTATATTTATATCACAAGTCTTACCTATCACTCCTCCACAGAAAACCTCCAGCTGATCCCTCATTTCACAGAGTTTAAAAACCAAAGGACAGGGCCTAACAGGTCCTTGGTGGTCTGGCCCCTCCCTCCCTGACCACTCTGTCCCTTGCTCTTGCAAGTCCAGCCACAAGGCCCTTCTGTTCTGTGAGCCAACAAGCACACTCCCAACCCAGGTTCTTTCAGTCTGGAGTGCTCTTCCTTCAGACATCCTCATAGCTTGCTCCCTCACTTCTTCCCAGTCTCCGCTCAAATGCTCCCTCTTCAGAAAGGTCTTCCTTGATCCCTACCTGACCTGACAATTCCTATTCCCTCTTTCGTACCCTTTTGTGACTATAAACACAGATCTAATCATCCCCTTTAATGACATTGTGAAAACATAGCATCATTTACTCAGCTAATCCTCTTGATGGCATTAGAGTGGCCACCAGGTTTTTGCTATTGTAAACAACTAATTAGGAATCTTATAAAGAAAATTTCATACTGAGTTTATGCCATAGATGAGTAAGTTTACTTGCTGCAAACATTTATTTCTAGTTTCTCAGAATTCGTAATACATTTTTTAAACAAAAAAAAAGTAACTAAAATACGAACTTAATGTACCAAGAATTATTATTCTCTTGTCTGTTTGACAAAGGCCAAGGAGTCAGATGCCTGTTCACATCATTCGCTTTGGAAGACCTCCAAAGGGCTTCATTTTCATGGAAATAAGCTGAGCATTCCTAAAAGGCCCCAGTGGGTTTATCCACTTTGGCTTTTCACACGATACAACATATTGGAAACTAAAACATATCCATTGCTTTACTTCCCCCCTAAATATATATGTCTTGTTTTTAAACATATGTATTTATGTTCTACTTAAAGAATATAATCACATACAATTTTGAAAAGAGAGTTTTTTTGTTTGTTTTTAATCCCTTACCCTAAAAAAACAAAAAAACAAAACATCTGTAGGCTTTTTGGTGAATTTTCTTCCAGACTATTTTCTTACACATCTGGTTTTCAAACATCTGTCATAACTATTTACATCTTGCCTGCTGGGTCCTCTAAGGATGTGACATGGCTCTCACTCTTGACCCTTTCAATGCATTCTCCACAGTGATCTTTCTAAAATAAAATCGGATTATGTCACTGCTGTGCTGTAAATTCTACCAAGGCTTTCCATTCCAGGCAGAACAAAAGCCGAACTCCTCCCGTGGCTTATACAAAGCCCATCGTGATCCAGGCCCTGCCTACCTCTGGGGCACGACCTCTTCCCAATTTCTTCCTTGCTCACTCCAGTCCCGCCACACTGGCCTTCTTTCTGTCTCCCAGATACTCATTCATGGTTTTCCCTATAAAATATTAGTCCAGGGCTTGGTCTTTCTTTTTCACTATAATCCTCAGTCTAGCACAGTGCCTGGCCCGTGAAAAGACGTTCAATAAATATCTGTAAGGCTAGTAAGGCTGTTTCATTAAGGATCCCCAGGTTTAAATATAAGGCTATGGGCCTCTGAATTTCCCTTCTAGAATCCATTTCATAGACCTTTCACAAAACTCACCCTTGCAAGCCTATTCCAATAGCTGAAGAATCTCTGATACAGCCAAGGTCATGGAGTCAAGACTCCAGGAACTAATACTAGTTCCAGTTCTACTAACTATGTGACCTTTAGCAAGGCTCTGAGCTTCTGTTCCTCAGTCTCCCCCTCCATAAGATAAAGGACATCTCCATGTACATCTCTAAGGCCCCTTTCCAGCGCTAATATTCCAAAACTTCCAATGTTCCACCCTTAAAGAGGCTCTTTAATAGCAGGGAGACATTTCCCAATTCTTGAAACCATGAAAACACTTACTGTTGCAAATCCACATTCCACCTTGCTGATTTTTTCAATGGACTCCACAGCATCTCTTCCAAGTTCTAAGAGGGTGGGATCCCCCGTAGCACGGTAGAGGTACATGGCGCTCTCAATGAGTTCTGCAAAATCCGATGCAAACCCTCCTTAGCCAGTGGCTGATCAAGGAAGGTTCGGGCCCACGTAGGGTAATGAGAGACTTGTCCCCTCCATACCTTGTCTAGAGGGCCCCCACAAGGAGGAACATGGGAGAACTCACTCAGTGCTGAGTTTTCAGAGCCTATTGGCCCCAAAGCCTGGAGCTTAGTGGAGACCAGACAAAGGAAGAAACAGGCAGCCAGTCTCTAGGACAGAGGAAGTGGCAGAGACAGCTACCTCTCTCCCAGTGTCTGTTCCCTTACTTAGTATCTGTGGCGCCTTCCTTAGTAATAGAATCCCTAATTTCTGCCAAGTACATGGCTGCCAAGACTAACAACCATTCCCAGCAGCCAGGTGTGGGGTTAGGGCTCTTGATACCATGGAGAGCCACAGATAAGGCCAGAACATGAAAGAGAAATATTTCTATCTTAATGAAGCTACTACGTGTTTGTTTGTTTTTTCTGTCACTCATAGCCCAGCCTAATCCTAAAATTTAAAGAGTATGAGCTTATCATTATAAGGCCCTTTCTGAGATGGGATGGAATAAAACACAAAGGCCAACATATGCAAGAGCCAATCTTCAATCTAGTGAGGATGCAGCCATCAGTTCACATGCTCAGAACAAGACAACAGTGTTGCCCTAGTCTATACAACTGGAATTTGATGTTCACACATGGGCCCCATCTGAAGGTAATTATTAACCAACAGGAGTTGGTCCAAATGAGAATATTTATTCTGGAGGAAAGAAAACCCAGGAAAATGTGCTTATTGCTTTCAAATATCTGGAGAGCTATTATGGAAATGACTTCTAGTGTGGCCCCAGTGGGTGGAAACTACCGTTTGGTAGATTGTTCTACTTCTTTACCTGCCTTTTCTCAGAGAGGAAAGAACTCTCTCCTTTCTATACCAACCTCTCTTCCTGATTATGCCCTTCCCTGCTTCCCTCTTGATCAGCACTTTTCTCTCTTTTGATTTATTAGTGCAAACTCTATTTCTTTTTTTTCTTTTTTTTCAGAGAAAAGATCTCTGCCTATCTCCCCAGTTTTCTCCTCCTTTTCCCTCCTTTACCCCAAAGGCCTCTAGACAATTGCTAATCTAATTGCTCATTTTACGACAGACTGTGTCCACTGGTAGGTGAACACACTGTGTGTGTTTAAGGAAAGAAACCAGTGCTGTTCTGGGAAGTCCTCCCGTCTGTTTCTAGCAGCTGGCTGGGTCAGCGCTCCCAGGCCAGCCAATGGTTTTCTCTTCCTCACACATGGGCCTACATTTGCTAGTAATTGCTTTAATTTCCTGTATACGCAGCCAACTCTCTAGAACAGCGGTTCTCAACCTGTGGGTCGCGACCCCCTTGGCAGTCAAATGACCCTTTCACAGGGGTCGCCTAAGACCATCCTGCATATCAGATATTTACATTACGATTCATAACAGTAGCAACATTACAGTTATGAAGTAGCAACGAAAATAATTTTATGGTTGGGTCACAACATGAGGAGGGATGACTATGTGTGCTGACTAAGCTTCCTTCCTCTGTCCCCCATTCCCTTTTCCTCCTCATGACGTTGAATTTTCCTGCAGTGACTCAGAGAATCAGAGCTGGACAGGAACTTACGAGTTTTATCTAGTGTGCAGTCCCTTCCTTCTCTGCTTCATCTTTATTTCTGAGCTGCAAGTAAGGAGGTGGAAGAATCCAGATGATTCATTCCTACCTAAAGTCCATTCCATTTCTTACTATGGAAGCATAGTGTATCTGACCCACTGACTTGGGAAGTTTGCCTACACTTCTGAAATCTTGATGGCAGGAACTCAAAAGGAGTCAACCTGGCTTTTTCCATCTCACCCACTTGCTCCAGTTTGAAAGATCACTAAGATTTAGTTAGGAGACCTGGATTCCAGTCTTAGCTCCTATACTTACAGCCTTGGGCAATCCATTTCAAACCCCCAGGCCTCAGTCTTCTTATGCAAAAAGATGAGGATAAATAATTCCTAGCAAGAAAACCACCCAGAGCCACTGGAAGAATCAGATGGGGGGCTCTGAGGGAGAAATGGACTTGTGAACACTTTTGAGGCATGTTAACTTCTAAAGACATGAGGATATGGGGTCCTGAGAGCCAAACCCAATGGCCAGAGATGCTGCTTACCCGGCCGAAGTGGGTAACCCTCTCGCTTCTCCACTGTGTATCCCTGAGGAATGTTGTAGAATTCTGGGAGCCCCCCAAACTGCTTCCACACAGTGTAGTAGTTAAGGAAGGTCCTCATGGCATTATCAATGTCCCCGATGAGGCTCTGTAGGAGAGAACTGGTTGTCAGGCAGACAGCCACCAGGTATAAAACCCCACAACCTCAGGGAAAAGAAAAGTAAAAGCTTTAGAGCTAAAAAGGCCTGCAGTCAAACCCTGGGCTGGCCGTTTACTCACGCCAACCAGATACTTACCTTCTCTGAGCTTAATCTATAAGATACAAAATGTAATATAGCTCATACATTGTGGGGAGGGACAGAGGTTGTACACGAAGTCCCTGACTGCCAGTACGTGCTAACTCAATGCTGGGCTCTAACAGTTTTTAAATAGGTAAGTCAGCTATTCGGTTCAAAATCTTAAGAATAGGAAAAAGTCTCAGTCCCACCCTATACCCCAGCATATAACTGTTTTGTATTAGTTTGTAAACATAAGCAAATATGTATGAGTATATATTATTTCCCCCACATTTAATATAGCTGATTAATTAGACTGTTCTGCAGTTCCCTTTATTCATTTAACAATATATATTGATCTTTTCCACATAAGCACATAAAAGCTTCCTCTTCCTATTGCATAGAATTCCATTGCTTTGACCATAATTTAATTAGCTCCTTATGAATAGGCAGTTGGCTTGGTTATAATCTTTTGCTCTATCAATGTTGCAGTAAATAAGTTTGAACATATGTCACCTCAAACATATGCAAAGTGTATCTGTAAGATAAACTTCCAGAATTAGGATTGCTGGATCAGAGAACATATGCATTTGTAATTTTACTAGCTGTTACTAAGTAGATATTAATAGTCACATACGCTCACAGGGAAACAGCTGACCTTTTTAAATAAATATGCAGTTTTTGAAATATATATATTTAATTGATTTCAGAGAGGAAAGGAGAGGGGGAGAGAAATAGAAACATCAATGATGAGAGAAAAATCACTGATTGACTGCCTCCTGCACGGCCCACACTAGGGATCAAGCCCAAAACCCAGGCCTATGCCCTGACCGGGAATTGAACCATGACCTCCTGGTTCAGAGATCAATGCTCAACCGCTGAGTCATGCTGAGTAGGCCAGCTGACCTTCTTGACATCTCCATTGGATATCTCAGGGACAGGACAAACTTGACTTTTCCCAAGCAAGATTCTTGATTCCCTCACTTTTCCACAAAGTTGTCTTCCTACTCCTGCCTCTTTTCTTTCTAGTTAATGGCACCAGCCAGAAACATGGTGGTTGACCTTGACTCCTCCTCATCCCCACCCCACATCCATTCCATCAGCAATTCCTGTCAATTCCATCTCCCAAAATATCAAGATTTTTCTCTTCATCTCTAGAGCCACCACTTGGTCTGGTCACTAGCAGACCAGACTGTGATGACCTCAAAAGCCCCCTCCCACCAGTTGTCCTCTTGCCCTCTCCAACCCACTGTCCCCAAGACAGCCAGAGTAACTGCCTTACTACACACTCCAGACCTCAGGGCTTCCTACAGGAGCAGCATAGAATTGAGATGACTCACTGTGGTCCTCAAGGCCCTACACAATCTGGTCACTGCTGACCTTCCATCCATTGATCTTTTCCTTCCCTGGACTATGGCCACATTGCTTTTCTTTGTTTCTGATAAACACCCAATTCTTTCCTGCCTCAGGACCTTCACACAAGGTATTTCCTCCCCCTGAAACATCATTTCCTGCCCCCAATTCTTCAAGTATAGGCTTTAATATCATCACATCTGAGAGGCTTTCTTGTCTAAAGTTGGTCCCCATCCAATATTCTATTTTAGCCTCTAATCTGTTTTCTTCATTTGCAGTTTATTATTTTATCTATTTATCTGTTTTAGGTTTTTCTTTGTGTCTCGCCCCCATAAACTTCATGAGGGCAGCAGGGCCTGGAACACAGAAGGTATTCAAATATTTGATAAGTAAGCAAATGAACAAATTTAACATCTCTAAGCCTCCTTTCTTCATTTGTGAGACAATACTTAGCTCAGTATGTTGTGATGATTCTGAGTAAAGCGCCTGACACATAAATCATTTTTTCATACATATTATGTACTACTTAAAAATAAGAGAGCCCCCAAAACTCATTAAGAAATACCTTTCCAACAAAATTGCTTTTAGGTTTTATAATTTATTAAAATATTTTAAGCTATTAATGATATTTTAATCATTTATAAATTAATAATAACTAAATCCAGAAGAAAAGAAATTGAATACTCAGAGCCTATGGTCACAGGGAATTTTTTAATGTTTTTAATTTATATGTACTATATTCAAATTTTGTTACAGAGACATATGATAGAGTATCAATAAAATTTTTCAGCATAAACTATAATAATTAGGATTAAATTCTGTTGGGGCCTAGAGTGGAAATATGAGTTCAAGGAGAAAAGGGAATGGATGGTATACAACTATTCAAACACGTAAGATAACAAATATCCAAGGAGCACTTTAGTTTTTCAAAATTCTTCTAGAGGGGCATTTAAGCAATAAAATTTGAGGATCCTAAGAGAACTGGCCAATATTTAATATTATCAACTAGAAGCCCGATGCACAAAATTAAGGCATGGGTAGGGTCCCTAGGCCTGGCCGGCGATCAGAGCTGACCAAGGCCTTCCTTCCCTGGCTGCTAGCCAGGGCCTTCCTTCATCCCACACCACCCACAATGGTCAGAACATGTCATAGCGAGCAATTGAAATCCCGATCTCCTGGTCAAACTCCTGAGGGGACACTTTGCATATTAGCCTTTTATATATATAGATAAACCTATATAGATATATAGGTTCTCTCTGAGCCTGTTGCCCTATCTGTTTAATAAGAGGGCTGGCTAAAAGTACATAATGGGGGACTAGTTAAATAAATTACAGTCTCCCTATTCAATGGAATATATGCAGCTGTTTCAAAAAGGTAAAACTAGCCTTGGCCATAATGGCACACTGTTAGAGCATCAGCACACACACCAAAAGGTTGAGGGTTTGATACCCGGTCAAGGGGACATGCCTGGATTGCAGGTTTGGGGGGCAACCAATTGATGTGTCTCTCTCACATTGATGTTTCTCTCCCTTCCCCTCTCTCTAAATATCAATGGGGAAAAATATCATTGGGTGAGGATTAACAACCAAAAAATAGGTAAAAAAAGCAAAAAGAGGTAAAACTAAATATGTGATATCAATAAAGGATGATCTCTAAGATATAATCAGTGAAAAAAGAATATGTATATGTCCTATATATAGAAAGAAAAAAGAGGGATATAAATATTCATATATTTATGGATATGGATTTTTGGAAAGATATACAGAAAACAGAAAATAGGGTCTGGATTAGGGAGAGAGTCTGAAGGTGGGGGCTTAAGACTTACTTTACAAGGTATTCCCTATTGCACTTTTCAAATTTACCACTACATCCATGTTATTACCTTTTCTTTAAATTAAAAAAAAACAACACACTAATTTATAAAAGTATTTTGGTACACCTAGGGGGTTGATTAGATGGGCTCTAAAATCCCTTCCAGCTACAGCCGTGACCCGTTTGGGTCAGTGGATAGAGCGTCAGCCTGCGGACTGAAAGGTCCTGGGTTCGATTCCGGTCAAGGTTATGTACCTTGGTTTCGGGCACATCCTCAATGGGAGGTGTGCAGGAGGCAGCTGATGGATGTTTCTAACTCTCTATCCCTCTCCCTTCCTCTCTGTAAAAAATCAATAAAATATATTTTTTTAAAAATCCCTTCCAGCTACAAGTCTCAGATAGTGTAATAGGAAAACAAGATGACGACAGACACAGCAGTCCCAGCTGTTTTCACGCCCTTTCTCAGGCCCGCTGTCAAGAATGAGGAGGTTTGACAGAAATGTCCATTGGAGAAACAGCTGTGGCCAATGTCTGTTACTGCCCAGCCTGGAAGGACACTCCCTACCTTATATTAACAACAATCCATAGCAAACTGGAAGTTAGGTTCCTGAAACCTTAAAGCTCCCTTTGGAAAATTTAGTGAGACAGAATCTTAAATCTCTCTTCCATTCCCAAGCCATCCCTCCAAAAAAAGTACTCAAGCAACTAAACTATCTCCTTTGACTTTTACATCAGCATGAGCTTGCTTTGCCAGTTCCATAGGAAAATGACCACCCTCTCTGATCATTCCTACCTGAAGACCAGGCCAGTAGGCCTCCAAGGACTGGAAGACTGGCATGGACACAGTCCCCTTGTACATCTGCACCCACAGGTACCAGTCATCAAAGCGGGTATAATTCCGAATGGCTTTGTTGTATTCTGCAGTGGAGATGGAATAATGGATATGTCAGTGATTAGGGAGACAATAGGAAGCCCTTGGCAACAGAAGCATGGACTTAAACTTTTGAAGCATTATATATGATGGTCTAGCCTCAAAGCAGGCTAGGATGCAATAAGGCAGAGAGGAAGAAGCATGGGGTCTAGAGTCAAACTTCCAGGCTCAAATTTTAGCTCCAGCTTTACCACTTGCTAGCTGTGATTTTAGGCAAGTTTTTCCCTCTTAAGCCTCAGGCTCATTATCTGTAAAGTAGGGAGAGTAATGTTATATACCTCATAGGGTTGTTCAGTCAGTTATTCATCCAACAATATTCACTGAGCACCTTCTATATGCCAGGTATTCAGAGCTGGCAAACAAGACTAAGAAAGCTCTCAGCCCTCAGAGAGCTTACCTCCTACTGGGAACTTTACCTTATACCTCCCCCTAAATTGTAAATCCATGAGGCCAGGACTTTTTTTTTTATTGGTTTCAGAATCCCCAACACTAAGATAGTATATAATATTGATATTGATATATATAAAGAGAGAGACAGGAAGGCAGAGGGAGAGAGAAAAAAAGAGAAACATTGATGTAAGAGAGAAACATCAATCAATTGCCTCCCACAGGCACCCAACCAGGAATCGAATCCGACAGCTGAGTATGTGCCCTGATCAGGAATTGAATTGGCTACCTTTTAGTGCATGGGACGACACTCAGCCAACTGAGCCACATCGGCCAGGGAAATAGTCATAATAAATATGCATAATGCTATCTGAATGAATGAAGCATCAAATACACATGCAAATAAATAAGAATCTCAAATAGTGTTGTAAGGAATAAATAAAATAGTCTATGTTCAGTGCTTGGCGCAGTGCTTGACACATCAATGGTACTCAAATATTTGCTGAACAAATTAATGGTAGCTATAATAACAATTATTAGGTGTCCAACAATTCCTCAGTATCATTATTATTAGTGTCTAAGAGCCTGAAGGGTAAAATGTTTGTATTCAACAGGCACTAATCTATGCCCTACCTCATGCAAAGCATTGTGGGAAATGCAAAGATGAATATGGCATGGATGCTGGAACTGTGGATGACAGTTGACTGTAAGAGAGAGGCTGAAGGCCATAAATTCTGAGGAAGGCTTAAGCTACTTCTTGGCAAGGTGACATTTAAGCTGGGCCTTGAAGGGTAAATAGAATTTTGGCACATGAAGACAGGAAAAAAGGTATTCTAGGCAAAGGAAACACATGTGCAATGGCCAAGAAATAAGATCTCCAGCCATACACAGAGAAAGCAGTACAGTTCAGCTGGCTCTGGGCAAGAAGGTGACAAGAGGTGTAGTGGGCATCGCGTGGACAGTGCACGTCCTTAACGGCTTTGAATGCAGACTCAGGTATTCAAGACTGATTCTCTAGGCACTTGGGAGCAACTGAAGGTTTGTAAATAAGCCACATGTCAATAGAAACAATCATGGGGAAAGCCCCTTATCCTGCCTTTACCTAGGAACATAGCCATGAGTTTCTTATCCTGCAGCAGGATGGCTCCTTTCACCAGGTACTCAAAGTAGGAGTCCACACCAGCCCCAATGCCTGCGTCCTGGGCCACCCACTTGCCAGTGAGCACGTCGATGTGGTTGCCAACCTAGGAGAGAGACAGATAGTACCAAGAGAGGGGCCAAAACAAAACAAGCATCTCCCCACATCCCTTACTGCCCAGTGAGATGCAAGGCTGGACCATGGCCAGCTTTCCTCCATATCTGTACAGTGGAGGTGCATGTCATGCATATTTACAAGGACTTAATATCCACAAGGAAAAAGAACAATGATTTGGAGGTTTATGCCCTATCTAGAGTGAGTGTGAGCTGGGAGATAAGTAAGAACTTGCTGTTCCCACAATCTGTCTCAGATTTCTCAGAACTCTGCATGTGATCACAGTGTCTAAATACACAAGACATACTTTAAATGTTTCCATAAGTCAACTCAGGGAGCACAACCAAGAAACCGGTGGAGTGATTGCTTGTAAGCAGAGGAAAGGGGCAAGATTCAGAGGAGACTTCACAGATATTACTGGGTACCTTTTTTGTATCCTTTGACGTGTACACCATGTGACTTGCAAAACCACTTTAAAATAAAATCTAAAACATTTAAATGAAGAAATATGCCGGGCTCCCCAGCAGCCCCTGAACGGCAGATGAACAGATCACTCAGACAATCTGACTGTGCAAGAGAGAGCTAAGGGGCCGCTGGCTTTAGTAGCCAGAGCAGCCTCTATTGCCTGCCTCGTTAGGCCTTTATTGGAATTTTTATTTTTAGATACAATCAGTAGGGTGAGTAATCTTGGGAGGACACATGTTTACATTGTCCTCTAGGCAAGGGCATCCAGGGATTAAGCATAAGGATTCCAGTAAACACCCGGGGGTCTGCATATGCACAGGCTTGTTTGGAAAGGTTAAGGAATAATAAGGGGCACCACCTCTGACACTCCCTTAAGCCTCCCCTAAGTCGGAATTCTGATAAACAGGGCAGGCGGCCTTCCACACGCTTCCCTTTTATCAGAATGTCCTCCTTACAACTTTCCAACCAAGTCTCTTGTGCTCCCCAACAGAAATATACTGTCCATATAACTTAGACCCTGATGGAGATTGATAACTTCATCTGTTACTCAATCAAAGAGACTACTAACTGCTGTGTTAGTTTGGGTCCCCCAGTGAATAGACCTTCAGCAAGGAAGACTGAAAGTAGTTGATTCTGAAGGTGAGTGAGTCCCTGAAAACACCAGTAGAAGAAGGGGAAAGGGAGGTAGGGAAGGGACACAGCCCATAAAGGGTGTGCCACCAGGCAAGCTACCACCATGGGAACTGGAGCTCAATCCCAAGAGGAAGCTCTGAGAGTCAATACAGAGCAGGAGTCTCAGCATTATTTCACCTGAAGGGGGAGAATTGGGGTGATCATCCACAAATTCCCATCAGTATTAGTCACTGATTGAGAATTGCTCCAGGGTTAGTATGAAGTCCTGGTTCTTCCTGTCATAAACAGCAGGACCCAGACACCAGAAAAAGCTGGTAAGCAAAGAGACACAGATGATGGTGGTTGGAAGACAGGTCAGCGTACATGAAAATGGAAAGGGCTGAGAGGATATGAGCAGGGCACCCAGAATCCACTATGGTTCCAGGACTACACAAAAAACTGCCCATGTTGGACTTAACAGTTCCTATAGGTTTTCAGTAGGGCATCTTCTTAAGGGATTTTCAAGGATTCCTCACCAGAGTTTCACTTTTCTTTTTAAAAAAATGTATTTTTATTGATTTCAGAGAGGAAGGGAAAAGGAAAGAGAGATAGGAACATCAATGATGAGAGAGAATCATTGATCGGCTGCCTCTTGCATCCCCCCCCACTGGGGATCAAGCCCACAACCCGAGCATGTGCCCTGACTGGGAATTGAACTATGACCTCCTGTTTCATATGTTGACGCTCAACCACTGAGCCATGCTGGCTGGGCAAGTTTCACTTTTCAAGCTGACTTAGATCAGACTTTGCATAAAAATGCGCCTCTACCTGAATCACTTTCAGTCAATAGTCTTTATAAGTTACAATAATTCAGCAAAGGAGATATTAATACATCAGCATCACTGCTGAAGCAACTGAGGATCAGACAGGTTAAGTGACTTGCTCAGGGTCACACAGTTTTGATGAAGCAAGGTGTGGGCTCAAACCAAGTTCTGACTAAAGCTAATGCTATTTCCTGGACAGCTTTGGCTCAATTACTGTAAGTTTCACTGGATTATCCAGTTTAGGAGCTGAAACTGACCTTAGAGATCAACTGGCCCAAGTGTGTTAAGTTTCCATGGGTTAATAGGTATTAGATAGGAAAGGGAAGCTCGGGGGTCATATGGTTTGGTAAATGTTGAGTTAAGTGAAGTTAATAGATTTATTTATCATAGGATTTAATAACCTTTAACCTGCTCATGTTCATTATGACTCTCCAAAAAAAAAAAAATACTATATATAGAATTCCCAAACTGAATTGACTGGTAATCATTTTTTCATGGAATAACCATTCATAATCTCTCAGACCTGACAATCTAAGGTCACCAAATGAGTCAGGGGCATCAAACATATAACCCACTCCTTGGCAACTGGAGAAATTCAAAGTCATTGTTTAACACACAGCCCCTTTCCCCACAGAGTATGTTCTCTCATGCTCTCTTTTTCTCTGTGCCAGAATATGAATTGGATGCTTAGTCTACTCTCAGTGTCATGAGCCTGAGTCCTGGTCCACTCCTGAGGTCACCTCAAGTTGCCTTTGGCTGGATTGCAACTTGTTGCTCAGAGCCCTGACCCTTGCAAGCAGGGGCCAATGTGGTGACTTGACTCAGACAGGAAGGGTGCAGCCAACCTACCAGCCCAATATCCGACCGGCTCTCCCAGAGACGCGTCAGGGCCACTCTGGCCACGTCTTCAAACACAGGATCACCAGTGAGGCTGCTCAGGGTGGCAAATTCCACAATGAAGGTCCCGATCCCTGCCGTACAGGTGACAGGGGTCTCTCCCGGGTTCACACCATGAAGCAGGTTCACTGTTCCATATGGCATGCCAGTGGGAGTCTGAAAGGCTGAACAATCACAAAATTATGATCCCCAGTCAGGAGCAGAGAGGTAGGGATGGTTGGATACAATCCTGAAGCCTGAGGCCTTGGCCAGCTCTTCCCTCTTTATTTCCTGGGCGACCTACTAGAGACTGAGCCAGAGAAGAAAACATGTCGCTGGAGGACCCTTAGTGGCCGCCTAAGCCAGATGCTGGCAAACACTGCTCCACATGACCCTTGGGCTCTCGCCCGTGATGAGGAGGAAAGCAGGGGCTGCCCCTCTAGGTTGTCACACGCCACACATGCTCACTTTAGATACAGCAGCACTATTTTTACTTATTTTACACTTGGCCTTCAGAGGCCAGGCAGGCAACTTAGTGTGAAGCAGGCACAGCTTAGGCCATGGGAAGTGGGGGGGCTTGTGGCACCCTAAAGAGCATGCCCTATTAGAAGCCACTGAGATACTTTTTAATTTTTAATTTCAGTTTTATTGAGATATGGTTGACATACAGCATTGTATAATTTTAAGGTATATAGCATAACTTGACTTACATATATTGTGAAATAATTACCACAATAAGATTAGTTAACCCCAGCCGGCGAGGCTCAGTGGTTGAGCATCAACCTATAGACCAGGAGGTCATGGTTCGATTCCTGGTCAGGGCATGTGCCTGGGTTGCAGGCTTGATCCCTAGTGTGGGGCAAGCAGGAGGCAGCCGATCAAGGATTCTCTCTCATCACTGATATTTCTCTCTTTCTCTCCCTCTCCCTTCTTCTCTGAAATAAATAAATAAATAAATAAATGTACTCTAAAATCACCTGGACTCATGTGAAATTTAAAAAAAAATTAGTTAACCTTCATGATCTCATATAAATACAAAAAGAAAAAAAAATTTGTTTTTTCCTTGTGATGAGAATTTTTAGGATCTACTCTCTTAGCAACTTACAAATACATCATAGAGCAGTGTTAACTGTTGTCATCATGTTGTATACTACATCCCCAATTCTTATTTATCTTGTAACTGGAAGTTTGTATCTTCTGATTCCCCTCATATACTTTTTAAACACTATTTTGAGCAAATGAAACATATCTGCAGATCTAAACACAGGAGCCAATTTAAGATCCTAACTTTACACAAAGAATTTACGGGCCAAATTATTTTTTTTAATGGACATAAACCACTAAACTGATGAGGTGGTCCAACCCTCAATTTACAGGTAGGAAAAGTCATGCTTGCAAAGAAGTGACTCAAAGGTCACACACAGAGAGCCGAACAGAGCTGGGATGGGAATGTTTGCCATGGTCCCATTCCCTGTTCCTCTCCCCACAAGCCCTATGCTCTGCCCACCCCACCCTAGTACTTTCCTATTTAAGGCAAGGAACAAGACAGGCAACCAGAGGCAGAGATTTCCTCTCTGGACCAAAAGGTCAAACAACCCAGAGCAACCTGTGCGTCACCAAAACATTAACAAAGTCGTTAAAACTTTCAAGAACTACAAGGTTCAGCAACTTTGCTGTAGACGAGAAACTGGCCATCTGACAGTCATGAGTGGCAAGCAAGGAGAATGAGAGCAAGAAGGGCTTAAAGGAATATTTCAGAAAAATCAGGCAATGTGAAACACAGGGGGAGTGACAAAATCCTATTTCATGACCTGAATGGTAGATACACTGGTACTTGTTCCAATATGTACTTTTCAATATGGATATTTCTCAATACAAAATTTTCTTAAATGACATACAAGTGAAGGGAGCAACCGGGCAGAGTTTCCTCTAGGGATGAGTCACACTGGACATGATGCTTGTAAGGAGACACTCAGGCCATCAGTCGACCTGAGCCCAGATCACTCTCTCCTCAGCTCTTCCCTGGGGATGAGAGGCAAGTACTGTGTGAAAGGGAGAAGTGAGATGGCCAAGAGGCTGGTGAGAAGCACAGTGTGATGTGTTTGGATATGACTAGCCCTAAGCCTCCGCCACACCCTGAAGGGAACACAGTGTCCGGCTGATGCTGCCGAGGCCAGCTACTGCCCTGCCAAACAAACACACTGAGGCTTGGCTTGCAGCCCTGCACACAGCTTAGCTAAAAACAAGTCCCTCTCATTCCAAGCACTTTCTCCTTTCTGACCCTGTTTCATGCCTCCCCAAAACCCTATGTTACTAAACAATGAATGGGTTAACAATGAGACCAAGGAAGAAATCAAAAGGTACCTTGAAACAAATGAAAATGAGAACACAACCCAAAATCTATGGGACGTAGCGAAAGCAGTCCTAAGAGGGAAATTCATAGCATTACAAGTCTATCTCAAGAAACAAGAAAAATCTCAAATAAACAATCTAACTTCACACTTATAGGAACTTGAAAAAGAACAACCAACAAAGCCCAAAGTAAAAGAAAGGGAATAAACAAAATACTGTCTATAAAAACAACATAAAAGATCAATGAGCCTGGCCAGTGTTGCTCAGTGGTTGAGTGTTGGCCTATGAGCCAGAAGGTCTTTGATTCCTGGTCAGGGCACATGCCCGGGTTGCAGGCTCGATTCCCAGTGTGGAGTGTGCAGGAGGCAGTCGATTAATGATTCTCTCTCATCATTGATGTTTCTATCTCTCTCTCCCATCCCCTTCCTCAAGAAAAATAGTATTGTGCTAAGCTAAATAAGCCAGCCATAGAAAGATAAGTAACACATGATCTCACTTATATGTGGAATCTAATGAAAAAACCTCAACGTAATAAAGACATTTTTGACAAATCCATAGGCAACATCATACTCAATGGGCAAAAACTAAAAGTGTTTTCCCTTAAGATTGGGAACAGGACAGGGATGTCCACTTTCAGCACTCTTATTCAACATAATCGGGAAGTCCTAGCAGCAGCAATCAGAAAGAAGAAGAAATAAAAGGCATCCAAATTGGAAAGGAAGAAGTAAAACCGTCATTATTTGCAGATGACATGATACTGTGTATATAGAGAAACCTAAAGATTCTACCTAAAACCTATTAGAACTGATAAATGATTTCAGCAAAGTAGCAGGATATAGAATAAGTACCCAGAAATCACAACAACCCAAATGACATACGAAAGAAGGTTGCATTTGTATACACCAATAGTGAAACTATCAGAAAGGGAAAGTAAGAAAACAATTACAATTGCATTTAAAAAAAGTTCCTAGGAAAAAATTTAACCAAGGATGTAAAAGATCTGTACTCAGAATACACCAAAGAAACTAAAGAAGATGCAAATAAGTGGAAACATATACCACTTTCATGGATAGAAAGAATTAGTATCATTAAAATGTCCATACTACCCAAAGCAATCTATAGATTCAATGCATTCCTTATCAATATACCAATGGCATTTATCACAACACTAGAATAAGTATTCCAAAAATTTATGTGGAACTACAAAATACCCTGAGTAGCCACAGTGATCTTGAGAAAGAAAAACAAAGTTGGAAGAATCATGCTACCTGATATAAAACTATACTACAAGGCCACAGTAATCAAAACAGTATGGTACTGGCATATGGAACAGAACAGAGAGCCCAAAAATAAACCCATGCCTTTATGGTCAATTAGTATTTGACAAAGGTGGAAGGAACATACAACGTGTCAATGACAGTCTATTAATAAATTATCAATAAATGGTGTTGGGAAAATTAGATACATGCAAAAAAAAAAATGAAACTAGACCACCTTCTTACACCATACACAAGAATAAATTCAAAATGTATGAAAGACTAAATGTTAGACTTGAAACCATAAAAATCCTAGAAGAAAACATAGGCAATAAAATCTTAGACATTTCTCAGAGCAATATTTTTTCTGAGATCTCTCCTCAGGCAAGGAAAACAAACAAAAAATAAACAAATGGGACTACATCAAATTAAAAAGTTTTTGCACAGCAAAGGAAATCCTCAACAAAATGATAAAACAACCCACTGAATGGGAGAACACATTCGCCAATAATACATCTGATAATGGCCAGCATGGCCATTCTCATTTCCAGCAAGGGAAGCAGGACCCACTGGACTTCATCTCTCCCCATGCCAGTGTGGGTCTTACCTGGGAGGAGTTTTCGGGCTGCCTCCTCGGCCATACTCAGGAGAGGTCCAGCGCAGGGCCATCCGGCTTCCACTTCCACCCCAGCCTTCTTCGACAGCAGGTGAGCAGACAGAAGTCCCCCTACCACTACCGATGGTACAAAAAGTAAATGTCAGAGTCCAAGGACCAGTGTTTCCCTTGTGCAATTTAAACCTAAACACTCTCACTGGTGACTCACTGGGAAGGGGCTAGAGCCATCTCTGAAAGACGAGTTCCTTAATCCCCCATATTGGTACAGGGTTAAGTTTGCAGAGTTTTGTTCTCTTGGTGGGCCACAAAAGACAATGGCTATCTGGTGTTTTTTTAGTACCTACTGTTTATCAAACACTAGGTACTACTGTCCCCTCTTAAGATGAAGATACTGAGGGTAAGAGAAGCAAAGAGACTTTCCCTGGAAAATCTAGTAGGTGGTAGGGCCAGGTCTGTCTGACTCCACTTGGTTGCTCTGTCTCCCAATCCCCCACCAAGACCTAAAGTGGAGGAGGGGGCGAGTAGTATCAATTTATCTATATCAATTTATAACATAACATTTTAGGACCTATAAAAAGGCACAAACATTCTGTATTTGGAAATATGGCTAGAGAGGTAGCCTAAATGGCTCAGTGACAAAACCTGGTGACCTTGAGCTTCAGTTTTTCCCCTCTTCTGGTAGGGGGAGTAAAAGACAAAGAATTGAACTACCCAAAGTGGAGAGGGTGATAAAAGTTGGGATCTGAAAGAATTATATACTCTGTGTAAGGAAAAATTAGAAATAAACTCTGCACACCTCCCATAGTGTATGTACAGTAAGGAAAAGTTCATGCCTCAACTCTTGATGCCAAGTAAAAGAAAAAGATATTTCTCCTAAGAATTAGTAACTACAAGCTGGTACTCACTAAGTTTTATGGCCTGAATTCATACTAACCAGGTAGTCTAGAAAACTTCAAATCTTTGGCATAAAGTGGTTTTTGGAAGATAGTACCTCCCGCTACATGGCAGAAGTGAACAACTGTATCTGGAAGAACCCACCATCACCCAGGCCTCAAAGAATCCCACAGGTGAAATCTAGGGAATGAGTATACATTCTGAAAAGTACATAAATCACAAAAAATACAAAGAAACAAAGTGTTATGAGTAAGAGTTAGCAGAAATGACAGTAGAACAAGACTTACCAACACTTCAGATAATGGAATTATCATACACAGAATATAAAATTGTTGTGTGTAGTACAGGGTTGGGCCAAAGGAGATTTACAGTGTAAGTGTGTGAAACACAGAGTTACACTTGTATTATTATTTATTAATTATTGTATTATTTTCCATGTAAAAAACTGTAAGCCTACTTTTGCCCCACCTTGCATGTTTAAAGAAATAAAAGAAAGGTTGGAACATATGAACAAGTAGCAGAAATTATAAAAATGAGCAATCCTATTTATAAAAGAACTAAGTAGAATTCCTAAAAATGAAAAAACATAATAATTGAAGTTTAAAAACATCTAGATAGATTTAATAGCAGATATGATATATCTAAAGAATTAGTGGACTTAAAGACAAACTCACAAAAATTATCCAAAAAGCAACATAAAGAGACAAAATGACTTTTAAAAAGTACAGAAGGGATTTAGAGGATACAGTAAGAAGGTATATATATCTGGTTGGAGTTCTAAAAAGAGAGAGAATCTCTAAGGAGAAAAATAGTTACGAACTTTATTTTTTTAAAAATATATTTTATTTATTTTTTACAGAGAGGAAGGTAGAGGGATAGAGAGTTAGAAACATCGATGAGAGAGACACATCGATCAGCTGCCTCCTGCACACCTCCTACTGGGGATGTGCCCACAACCCAGGTACATGCCCTTGACCGGAATCGAACCTGGGACCTTTCAGTCCACAGGCCGACACTCTATCCACTGAGCCAAACCGGTTAGGGCTAGTTACGAACTTTATAAAATTAATGAATGACACCAATTCTCAGATCCAGGAATCTCAAGCAAGATAATAAAAAGAAATCCACATTGCTCGGCCAGTGTGGCACCTATGAACCAGGAGGTCATGGTTGATTCCCAGTCAGGGCACATGCCCAGATTGCAGACTCAATCCCCAGTGGAGGGTGTGCAGGAGGCAGCCGATCAATGATTCTCATCACTGATGTTTCTACTAGTATCTCTCTCCCTCTAACTCTCGGAAATCAACCAAAATGTATTTTTTTAAAAAGAAAACAGGACTTCAGGTTACTGCCCCCTCTTCCTATAGGCTTCCAGTACATAGGTATGTGCTAATTTGCATGAGAATATAGGTATGTTTGTTTACCTCTAAAAATAGACACATTAAAAAAAGAGCCCTAGCTGGTTTGGCTCAGTGGATAGAGTGTTGGTCCTTGGACTGAAGAATCCAGAGTTCGATTACCGTCAAGGGCATGTATATCAGTTGCAGCTTCAATACCTGACCCGCTCAGGGGTGTGTGCGGAAGGCAACCAATTGATGTGTCTCTCTCACATAGATGTTTCTTGCTCTGTCTCTCTCCCTCCCTTCCACTCTTTCTAAAAAATTAATGAAAAAATATTAACAAACAACCCCCCCCCAAGAAATCTACATTTATACATATCACAGTAAAATTACAGAACACCAAAGGAAAAAAAAATAGCTCAAAAGCAGTCAGAGTCCATGTAAACATGATTGTTAAAGCTCAGTGACGAGTACATCTAGTTCATTATACTATTTTCTCTACTTTTATGTATGTTTGAAAATTCCCATAATAAAAATTATTTAAAAGGGGCTGCCAGCATAAATAAAACCAGTTATCTATAACGACATAATAATTAGATTGGAAAATTACTTTTTAACAATGGCAATGAAACCAGAAGACAAAATTTTCTTCAAGGTGCTAACAGAAAATAACTACCAACCTAGAACCATATGTCCTACAAAAATACCCGCAAACAAATGCAGTGAGAAAGACATCGCCATACAAACAAAAGCTGAGAAAGTTTTCCAAGAATACACCCACACACCCAGCTGCTGTAGCTCAGTGGTTGAGCATTGACCTATGAACCAGGAGGTCACGGTTCAATTCCTGGTCAGGGCACATGGCCAGGCTATGGGCTCGATTCCCAGTTTCTCTCTCTCATTGATGTTTCTAACTCTCTGTCTCTCTCCCTTCCTCTCTGTAAAGAATCAATAAAACATACTTTAAAAAAAAATAAAAATAAAAAATAAAAAAAGGTAATACACTTACACTAAAGGACATTCTAAAGAAAGTACTTCATATGGAAGGAAAAGGGTCACGGATGTAAGGTCTGAAGCATAACAAAGAAAGGTAGTAAGAAAAGTGCTAAATATATTAATAAATCAACACTTTAACTGTATAGAATAACAATAATGTATGGAAGGCTTCAAAGAACTAAAATACATGACTATAGCATACAGGTCAGGATATCCTCAGAGTCAGGTTTTATATTACTTAGAAGGAGAATAAATATTTTCATTAACTCTAGACTTTGTTATGTTTGTTAAAATTTCTAGAAAAAACTATTTAAAAGCTAGATATCATGCATAATACCTAAATTAGTAAAAGGAAAATGACAAATAGCACAAAATTAATACCACAGGAATGAATGTAAATATATCAGTAATTATTGAAAATATAAATGGATTAAACATTTCAGTTAAGAGACTCTCAGAATTGATAAACAAAATATAATACACTAGAGGCCCGGTGCATGAAAATTCATGCACTTACGGGGTGGGGGGGGTCCCTTGGCCTGGCCTGTGCCCTCTTGCAGTCTGGGAGCCCTTGGGGGATGTCCACCTGTCAGCTTAGCCCCGCTCCCTTGAGGATCAGGCCTAAGCTGGCAGTCAGACATCCTTAGCATTGCCCAGGAGATGGGAGAAGCTCCTGCCACTGCCTCTGCACTCGCAACCATCAGCCCAGCTTGTGGCTGAGTGGCACCCCCCCTGTGGGAGGGCACTGACCACCAAGGGGCAGCTTCTGTGTTGAGCGTCTGCCCCCTGGTGATCAGTGTGCATCATAGTGACTGGTCATTCCTGGTAGTTCTGCTGTTAGGATCAATTTGCATATTACCTTTTTATTATATAAGATAATTTACAAAAGATATAGCTAATAATAAAAACAGAAAGATCGAAAGTAAGAGGGTAGAAAAACATATACAGGGCAAATGCCAAGCAAAAAAAAGCTGGTATAATTATATTCATGTCTGAAACAAAGGTATAAGGACAACCTTAATTTCCAGATGATAAATCAGGCTCAGATTGTGTGATACAGCAATGAATATGACCTCAGGACTGATTCCTAAATCAGGATTTTATATCATGCTGTCCCTCTGCAACCTGATCTTTTAAAAAATTTATTTATCACGTTTCTATAAGTTTCATTGTAAAAAAAAAAAAACATCCAAAATAAAGATGAGCACAATAAGGGGCAAAAAACATAACTGCCATCCAGAGGTGACAGCTGTTGAGCCACTGGAGGTCCAGAAGTTCACTGGAAATAAGGACTGTGCCAGCTTCATAAGAGTCATTGGAAACCTGCTAAATAACTGATTCAAGGACTCAATCCAGAGATCACAATTCATTGGTTTAAAGTGGAGCCAAGACATCTGAACTTTTTAAAGGTCCCAGGTGGTTATGATGGACCACCAGGTTTAGAACTTAATACTTGAGACTTGAGGTGTATAATACAGTAATCATTAACCAGGTGTCACTATTGAAATTGAAATTCTTTAAAATTAAATTAAATTAAAGATTCAGCTCTTCAGTTGCAGTAGGCACATTTCAAATGTTCAATAGCCACATGTGGCTCATGGCTACCGCACTGGACAACATAGAGACAAAACATTTCCATCATCACAGATATGGGTAGTGCTTCCTAGATAATAAACTCCAAGAAAGCAACAAAGGATTACATCTTTCTTGCTCATGACTATATCCTATATAATAAAGAGCTAATATGCAAATGGTTGTCATGCCCTCGCACCCTCACGCCGGGGCCAGGGGACCTCAGGCTGTGCCCCCCGCCTTGTGGGGCTTGATGGGGGTGGGGTAGCCGGGTCTCGGTCTTGTGCAATTTCGAGGCGCACGCGGGTGGGCAGGGACTTGACTCTGGGTCTGCGGCATGCCCCAGACTTTGATAGGAGGGAGGTTTTCATATACATTTTACTAATTTTCTTTCATCTCTGACACTTCTATTATAGAGAAAGGGCAAATAACAATATTAAAATATTTCCCCTAATGAATTCTCTTTTAATGTGCACAAATTTTGTGCACTGGGCCAGTAGTGTACACACACACACACACACACACACACACACATATATGCCTAGGACCAAATAGATGTTAACCATGTGAGTAAACCTGGCACATTTCTTTCCATTCTTTTCTCTGTCCCCTGCTCATGTCTGAAACTGATGAGGAATACTGAGACCTTCCCACCCTACCCTCCAAGAGGGAAGAAGAGCTGTCCATCACTGGTTTGGGCCAAGTGCCCTGGTAGGGCCAGCCCTTAACCCGAGCAGACCGCTGTACCGATTTTTCGGTAATTTCCACACAAAGGTGGAATATTGGCGCTAGATAAAAGGTAGATGAAAGGTAGACCTATTTTCTACAATGTCTCCAAGTTCCATCTTATTCTAACCATTTGTTTGCATGTAACTAACATTTTTCTATAACATGTTGATTTTTTCTCCTAATGCTCAGGAGCCCAGGTATAGGGGACAGTTAGGTTCAGGGCCTCAGGTCTGGTAGGATTAAGATCTGATTTACCACCTTCTGGTTTATACAGTAAGAATCCACACTCTGTTTTCTTCCAAAGGCCATAGAAGGCAGCCCTTACCTCGGATGTTGGTTTCAAACACAGATGCATTCACATCAATATCAAAGTCCAAGTTGTCCTGGAGCACTTCAACCACCCTTTGGAATTCTGAGACATTCCCCAAAATCTAGGAGGAAAGACAGACATGACAATGAAGATATCTCAGGTTTGAAGGCATTGAAATGTTGGAATAAGAGTCTAGGATCTGCCCTAACCGGTTTGGCTCACTAGCTAGAGCCTCAACCTGGAGACTAAGGGGTCTCGGGTTCGATTCCAGTCAATGACATGTACCTCAGTTGAAGACCTGATCTCCAGATCCCCAGCCCTAGTCAGGGCATGTGCAGGAGGCAACCAATTGATCTGTCTTTCTTGCATGGATGTTTCCCTCTCTCTGTCTCTCCCTCTCCCTTCCACTCTCTCTAAAAATCAATGGGAAAATATCCTCATGTGAGGAAGGATTAACAAAAAGAAAGAGTCTGGGATCCTATGCCAGAGTGGCCCTCACTTATTCAATTTAAGGCCTGCAGTTTCTGTTCTAGGACTGATGACAAGTGAAGAAAACACTGAGAGCTAAAATTCACAAAGACCCAACATCAAGAGACTGGCTAGGTAAATCCTTTTTTTTTTAGATTTATTTTTATTGATTTCAGAGAGGAAGGGAAAGGGAAATAGAAACATCAATGAGAGAGAATCTGCCTCCTACACCCCCCCCCACTAGGGACTGAACCCACAACCTGGGCATGTGCCCTTGACTGGAATCGAACCCGGGACCCTTCAGTTTGCAGGCCGACGCTCAATCCACTGAGCCAAACTGGCTAGGGCTAGGTAAATTCTTGGGTACCAATTCAAGAATACCCATTTAAACAATGTAAAACTGTATAAAAACAATATAGACTATAGAGCACATTAAGGACATCTTAGTTTGCTATTTGCAGTGAATGTCTATTGTTTTTAACCTTTTCTTCACATTCATGCTTGTAGAAAATACTGCGGGTCGGTTGGCCCAACAATCATTCCCAATCTTCCTTACCCTTTTAGCCTCTACCATAGAGGCTGGAATCCAGATACTTGCTGTCTTAGACTCTGGTTGCTAGAGGTGATGGTGTTGCCCAGCCAATTCGGAGCCTTGAGAAGACCACTGAGGGTACTTCTAGGAAAGCTTCTGTTTCCTAACAAAAAGGGAGACCCAGCCAGTGTGACTTGGTGGGTGAGTGTCAACCTAGGAACCAGGAGGTCACTGTTCAATTCCCAGTCAGGGCATATGTTCAGGTTGTAGGCTCGATCCCCAGTGTGGGGGGAGGGGGTGTGCAGGAGGCAGCCAATCAATAATTCTCTCTCATCATTGATGTTTGTATCTCTCTCCCTCTCCCTCCCTCTCTGAAATCAATAAAAATATACATTTTTAAAAAAACTCACTGCCCTAGCTGGTTTGGTTCAATGGATAGATCCTTGGCCTGCAGACTGAAGGGTCCCAGGTTCGATTCTAGTCAAGAGCACATGCCTGGGTTGTGGGCCCAATTCCGATCCCCAGTAGTGGGTGTGCAGGAGTCAGCCAATCAATGATTCTCTCTCATCATTGATGTTTCTCTTTTTCCCTCTCCTTCCTCTCTGAAATCAATAAAAATATAGTAAAAAAAAAAAACCAAAAAACTCACTATTGTAATTCCAGAGCTCAGTACTGCATTTGGCATACAGCTGGCCATTAAATGAAGAAGTAAATGCCACCTTCTCTAGGAAGCCTTTGGTTCTTTCTTTAAAAGACTCCAGTAACTTCATCCACAGAACTCTCTAGGCGTCTGTGTCTCTCCACATTAAGAGTATCTTTGACTGGACAGGAGCCTCACTCATTCCTCCATTCCCCCAGAGTGCTGCACATGGCCCATGAAGGAATTACTCAAGGAATGTTTGTTGAATGATTACATGAATCTTTCTCCACATTGAAGCTAGTGATCTGCTCAAAACAGATATTTCATCATTTCCTGCCCTCCACTTAAGAAATTTCAGTGGCTTTCCACTATCTCAAATTAAAGTTCAAAATCCTTAAGATTGTGGACCTCATCCGGTCGCCATCTATCCCTCCAGCCCCATTTGCTTCTCCCTTTTCCTTCCAACATCTCATACACACTGGCCTTCCTTTATTTCACTGCACTTGCCATACTCTCTCTTTTGCCATAAGGCCTTTGCACAGGCTGTTCTCTCTGCCTGGAATACTCCTTCCTCCCCCACTTGCCAAGTCAAAACTTGCTTCTCCTTCAGATCCCAACTTAGTATCAGTTCATTACCTTAGGGAAGTTCTCTGTGACCTCCTCAGTCTAGGTCAACTTCTTTTAGTTATCACCACTCAAAGAACCATGTTCCTTTCCCACCGTGCACTCTCCTCAATTTGTAATTACACATCCTTTAGGGTTAGTCTTTTATTCTTTGTCCCTCTCACTAAAATCATAAACTCCAGGAAAGCAGAGACTGTGTCTATTTAAACTCACTACTGTGGCCAACTGTGTGGCTGAGTGTTGAGCGTCAACCTATGCACCATAAGGTCACGATTCAATTCTGGGTTTGCGGGCTCGATCCCCAATGGGGGGTGTGCAGGAGGCAGTCAATCAATGATTCTCTCTCATCATTGATGTTTCTATCTCTTTCTCCCTCTCCCTTCCTCTTTGTTTTTGATTGTTTGTTTGTTGTTCTTAATGTTTTTGTTTTTCTCCTCTTCCTCTTTGAAATCAATAAAAAAAATACTTTTTAAAAAACTCACTATTGTAACTTCAGAGCTTAGTACTAAGCTTGGCTACAGTTGGCCATTAAATGGAGGAGTACATACAAATTAACACTAAGGTGAAAAAAAGCTAAATTATATCTATAAGGTAATCACAATCATGTAAATATTATTAATTTATAAAAATGAAAGGTGTTGACAGAGAACCAGAAATAGTGAAATAGGGGAAAGTGGTTAAATCCTCTCTTGTGGCTTCTTTAAGGATGACAGTTAAGGCCTGGGATCGTACAGAATTGGGTTCAGGTCCTTGCTCTTCCACTTCAGAGCTACATACACTGGCCAAGTCATTTTATCTCTTTAAGCATCAGCTCTCCCAGTGGTTAAGGAGTACAGGTACTTACCTCAAAGGGTTGCTGGAAGGATTAAACAGGATAATACATGTAAAGTGCTTAGCACACACATAACACACTAACTAATTACTGCTATTATTTTTATCACTGAACATAACCATCAGAATGTAAGCCTCTGAAAATAAGGAGGGCATCAAGGTCTCTGTATCCCCCCCTAAACAGAGTTCTACAGGCCTATCACAGTTCTGTGTTCTACAAACATGTGCTGAATAAATGAGCCTGAGTAAGCCTGAAATTCATCGCTTTCCTCCATCTAGGGCAACCAGAAACTGATGGTTCAGAATCATGAGTTGAAAATAAAAGACCCAGGTCAGTGATGGCGAACCTTCTGAGCTCGGCGTGTCAGCATTTTGAAAAACCCTAACTTAACTCTGGTGCCATGTCACATATAGAAATTTTTTGATCTTTGCAACCATAGTAAAACAAAGACTTATATTTTTGATATTTATTTTATATATTTAAATGCCATTTAACAAAGAAAAATCAACCAAAAAAATGAGTTCGCATGTCACCTCTGACACGCGTGTCATAGGTTCGCCATCACTGACCTAGGTGAAGAATTCACCAATAGTCAAACTGCCGAGAGGAAAAGGAATAGAGGAGACACTTACCAGCAAGGTATCCAGAGCATCAATTAGCGTCAGAGAAAAGCTGTGAAAGGACAGAAATCCCAGCTTAGTAAGAAAATCAAACACCATATGTTAAGATTGCCCCAGATCAGTACCCAAAAACCTAATACATGAGGCACAGCAATGCCTCTGCCTATCCCACTTCCAGTCACAACAGAAAAGCCATAGTGAAAACTGCCAGGAACCTCTGACCCATTTAATGCACCTGGGATAAGGGACTGATATAAGCCCAACTGTCGTTAACACGTTACGCACCCAGTCAGTCACCGCTGACTGACACTATACTTTCCGTCCGGAAGACAAAGCAGGCCGGGCACTTAACGTGTTACACACTTGCCTATATTCTCTGGCATTCTTCTCTTCATAGGTAGACAGGATAAAACTGCAGCTAAGAGTAAGGGCTTTTCCACACCTAAAAACTTATCTCTCAGTACACAGAACTGTATGCCTGAGATTGCTCATGTCAGTTCAGAACAGCAAAAAGCTAGAAATAACCCAAATGCACACCAGTTGAAAAGTGATTAAACTGTAGTACACTCAAAGAACACAAAACTATAGAAGTTGTTATCGAGTTCTTTAACAAAAAGAGTTCTATTGGCTAATGTTAAGATACTCTAATTGTTAATTGAAAAAGACGAGGCATGGAATAGGCAGTGTGATATGTTTACTAGTATATCTGCATTGTCAAAAAGAGACATATAGACAGACAGATTAGTTGTTTGGGCTGCTGGTGGTAGACGGATTAACTATAAAGGGCACAGGAGAACTTTTTAGGGTATCCTGTATCCTGGCTGTGATATCAGAACCTCAGAAATGTTCTACTTGTTGACTGTGATAATGGTTACTATGTACTTAAAATGGGTGTATTTTATTATGTGTAAGTTATGCCTTTAAAAAGTTAATTTGAGCCCTGCTGATGTTGCTCAGCGGTTGAGTATCAACCCATGAACCAAGAGGTCGCTGGTTTGAGGTTCGATTCCCAGTCAGGGCACATGCTTCATCCCCAGTAAGTGGTGTGCAGGAGGCAGCGGATCAATGATTCTCTCTCATCATTGATGTTTCCATCCTCTCTCCCTCTCCCTTCCTCTCTCTCTAAAATAAATTTTTTAAAAACTTGTTTTTAAAAGTTAATTTTAAAAGATGTCTATATGGCCGAGGCCGGTTTGGCTCAGTGGATAGAGCGTCGGTTTGCGGACTGAAAGGTCCCAGGTTCGATTCCGGTCAAGGACATGTACCTGGGCTGCGGGCACATCCCCAGTGGGAGATGTGCAGGAGGCAGCTGATCGATGTTTCTCTCTCATCGATGTTTCTGACTCTCTATCTCTCTCCCTTCCTCTCTGTAAAAAATCAATAAAATATAAAAAAAATGATTTAAAAGATGTCTATATGATCATATAAACTGAAAATATTTACGGAAGGATACTCAAGAAAGATTATTTCCTTTATGTATATGATCTTGTACTGCTTGAATTTACCATTTGCTTGTATTACTTTCTTTTTTCAACTAAAAAACAAAAACCAACACAAATTTTGTTGATTTTACTTAACTTGACCAGTCCTTAGCATACGCATTTGTAAAATGGAGATAAGTGTTAAGAGAATCAAATGAGATGACAAAGGTAAAATGCTTAGCACAGTGTTTCATCAATGTCAGCTTCAATTAAATGCAATGATTTCTTTACTCAAAAAGAACAAGACAGAGAATTCCATCTCTGATTTTTATTCTAGCGTGAGAAAGTCAACCTAGCAGCCAAGTGAAAAGGATAGTATCAGAGTGAGAAGTGCTAAGAAGAATAAGTGATTTGTGAGAGTGACCTGGAAGGAGTAGGTTGTCAGGGAAGCTGATGCTGCGGTGACATTTTGGGCTGAAATCTCAAGAAGCAGTCAGTGTGTGAAGATAATGGGGGAAGTGTGTTTCAGTTTCACTAACAACAAAGGCTCTGAAGTGTCATGGCTGGGAGAGTTACATCCCCTCCTGGTTTGTTGGTCCACTTATAAAATGAAGGGGTTGGGTCCTCTGACTTCCTGGAGCCTTCCCATGGTATTCTACAACTCCAGAGATCTGCCCAAGCCCCCATGACCAGCGCCTGTTACTCCTGTGGCTGGAGTCCAAAGGTTCAGCCCACCAGGCTAACCCAGGCTACTCCACTCCGGGATCCAGATTTCCAGGCTGGGTGGATCCGGATGGTGCTGGCCTGAATGGGGGTTGGGGGGTGGGGGTGGGGGAGTGGTCACGGTCTCGCCCTGGCTAGGAGCTTTTCCGGATCTGCCAAGGAAACCATCAAGCCACCAGTCCCAGAGTCCCACCCGTCTAGAACCGGACTGCCAGACCCCGGCCATCCCTTCGCACTACCTGCCCCAGGTGTCATGCCCGTCACAGGTGAGAGGTCGCAGCTCGTCGTAGGGAAATGCATTCTCCAGGTAGCTGTCGTAAGCGTGGTAGAACATGGCCTTGACTCGCTCCCTGGTGAGGATTAGGAGAAATAAGGGGCGGAAAACGAAATCAAGCAGGGGAAAGGACAAGAAATAGGCGGAAAGTGGAAATCACCCCGATTCTGCCGGGGGCCCAGAGGCGGATTCCGAGCAAATGAGGGTGGGGGTCCTGGGGCAGAGGGCAAGGAAGGAACCCGCTCGGTGCTTTCCATTCCCCTACTGCGTCAGGGCGGGGAGGCTGACCGCTTCACCTGTAGTGAGCGGGGTCGGGCGCGGAGCCATCGGGGCCCGGCGCACCACGGTGCAGTGGCAGCAGCAAGCACAAGAGGCCGAGCGGGGCCAGCAGCCGGAAAGGCATAGAGCTCGTGTCCTGTCAGCACCGCCGCCGCAGCAGCCGCCACCACCAGCTGCTCATCCTGCGAGCCTCTGGGGTTCTTCCGGGAATCCGCGTCACTGCGCCTGCGTGCTGATGACTCAGTCACTCACTTCCGAACTACAAGCCCCAGAATGCAACTGGTAGCGGAACCGAGGCAAAGAGCATCCTGAAATATATATATAGTCTGGGGCGCAGGTCTACGTGTCTTAAAGACAGTGGCTATTACAGCTACTGCAATTAATTAATGTTTTAGTAACAGCATTTATTGAGCACTTATTGTGTACTAAGACTGTATGGAGCACTTAAATACATTATCATTTTTAAAAATCACATTAAACATGAAGGCAGGGACTCAACATTTGTTGAGCTTATTGTGTACTAAGACTGTATGGAGCACTTACATACATTATCATTTTTAAAAATCACCTTATTAAACATGAAGGCAGGGACTCAACATTTATTGGGTGTATGTATTTATATATAAAGATGGATGAAGAATGTTCAGCCTTTACCATTAGGCATACCGAGTTTCCCAGACTAGTTCCCTGCTCGTTGTGTAAGGTACAACTTACTTCCATTTATTTGTCCAAAGCTGCCACGCTCGAGATTTCCAGAAATCTTATCATTTCTAAAAATTCATGAATTTTGGATTGTTATTTTTTTAATTCTCAGCTAAAAATGTTAATTGATGAAAGAGAAAGAAATAGATGGATGTGAGAGAGAAACAACCATCGACATTCTAATGGTCTCTTCCGTCTCCAGCCCAGTGCAGAAGTTTTCCCATCCAATCCACTGGACCATCTCAGTGGCTGCAGCCCTGTAGAGTATCCCAGGTGAGAATGAAGACCCTGGAGCACTATAGCATTGAGAAGGTTTGGAGCACATTTTTCCATTTTCCTCCTTGCAAGTTCCCAGAGTTTGGTCATCCTTTTAGACTATAGCAACACTTATGACTTTGAGCAGTGTGATGTGCAGTAAAATCAACCCTGGAATTGAAGTGAGACCTGGACTTCAATTCTAACTTCAGTCCATGCAAAGCCTCTAAGTGTGACCTTGAACATTGCCTCTCCCTCCCCAGACCCAACTTCCTCATCTATAAAATGAGAGGTTTGAGCACTGGCCGGTTTGGCTCAGTGAATAGAGCATTGGCCTGTGGATTCTAGGGTCCCAGGTTCGATTCCGGTCAAAGGCACGTACCTTGGTTGCAGCACATACCCAGTGGGGAGTGTGTAGGAGGCAGCTGATCGATGTTTCTCTCTCATCAATGTTTCTAACTCTCTATCCCTATCCCTTCCTCTCTGTAAAAAGTCAATGAAAATATATTTAAAATAAAATAAAATAAAATGAGAGGTTTGAACAAATGAACCTCTGAGGTCCTTGAACTCGCAGGCAGTTAGGTATGAACAGAGCAGGAACTGATAGGCCAGATGCTGAGTGTCACCAGGGCAGAGAGCCTCAGTTGCCTAGCAACAGGCAAAGCTACAAGCCCTTGCAGACCACTCCCTTAAGCACTAACGCCTGGAAATGACTTCTAGGCCTCGGCTGTGTTTCAGCCCCAGGCCCTTAGGAGTAGCAAAACAAGGCAAAGCAACATAGTGGCTGACATCAGGACCAGCTGCAATGATTAATGACCCCCTGGGGACCAACCAGTTAGTGGAGACCACACCCTCAGGAGACACTGGGAAAGCTGGTGAATATTTTACTGAGATCCTCCCCTGTGACTTGCAGATAAAAGCCCTCAGAACTGAGGACCCTGCTCTTTCTCTATGGAGCATGTCTTTCCCCACCCTCTTCTCCTCCCTCCCCCTTCCTCCCCTCCCAATTTGTTTCCTGAATCCATTTCTTCTACAACTCTCTCTACTTCTGTGACATTCTAAATAAACTTTCTTTTACAGTTTGAGTCTTGGCTATGAATTCTTTCTTAGCCAGAACTCAAGTACCTAGGTTGCTGAACCAAGGTTGGGTCTGACTCCAAAGGACCTAACACCTGTTTTTCCACAGCTAACACTAAGATTGGCCATCCTCCCTCTTTGGTGAAAAGGTCAGATGGAAGTGGCAGCTCAATTCCTTGAGCTGGAATGCAGACAAATGTCCTTTGGTCAAGCATCCTTGAAAATATCTTTAAATGCCATCAGTTGATATGAGAATTAAAACCCTGACTTAACCCAGAGAGCTTAAGGTAGTGCAGTACAGTATTAAAAGTGTGGGCTTTAAATTTGAGCAGACCTGAGTTGGAATTGAAGCATGGTAGCAACCATGTTTGGGTAAATGTTTAATATTTTAATCCTGCTGACTTGGCTTCTGTCATAATTTGCTTGCTAAAATAATAGAAAAGTCATTTTGATTTTCTGAATTATATGAATCATCCCATTCGATTAAATACCGTATTGATTGTAATTTGAATACCCCATTGGTTGTGGTCATACTGGTTTTAGAAAACACATTCCTCTGTACCTGGAGACCTGGACTGCCCAATTACTATAAATTGACCCGATGGTTCCACATAATGTGTTTCCGTTGACTCAGTGGTCCCAAGACCTGAAACTATAATTAATCTTTGTAGATAACTAATCGGCTCAATCTAGCTTCTGTAACAAACTGCTTTTTTGCAAACCAGGTTCCTCATTCCAAACCCCAAGATGTAATCAATACCTTTGTGATTTTTGCCTATATAAATCTGGTGTTGCGGCCATCTTAGCACTACGAGATTTGGAGAGCATAGCCCCCTCAGAGTCCCGGCTTCGAAATAAATGTGACTCCTTAATTCGACTTCTGGAGGCGTCCTTGTGTGATTCGCGGGGTACATTACAACAGAATAATAGCTCCATCACCTATTACGAGTGTGGCCCCACCAGTTTTTCTTCAGAGGCTCATTCCTATTTGTAATAAATAGGAATAATATTATTATCTACCTAATGGTATTATGAGGATTTAGTTAGTTAGCTATTGCATGTGTAGTGTTTGTCATTGTGCCTGGCAGAAGAGGTACTAAAAAAATATTAGGATCTTTTTGGAAACTCTTTTTTTTTAAATATATTTTATTGATTTTTTTACAGAGAGGAAGGGAGATGGATAGAGAGTTAGAAACATCGATGAGAAACATCGATCAGCTGCCTCCTGCACACTCCCTTCTGGGGAGGTACCCACACCAAGGTACATGCCCTTGACCGGAATCAAACCTGGGACCCTTGAGTCTGTAGGCTGATACTCTATCCACTGAGCCAAACCGGTTAGGGCTGGAAACTCTACTCTTTTTTCTCTTTTTTTAAAATTTTGTTTTATATCTTAAAGTATTACAAAGAGTATTACACATGTCTCCTCCCCCCGCCCTTGACATCTCTTCATCCTCCCCTACCCCCCAGTGTCTTGTGTCCATTGGTTATTCTTATATGCATGCATACAAGTCCTTTGGTTGATATCTTACCGCCCCCCAACCCTCCCCAGGTTTCCCACTGTCTGTTCAATGCTGTTCTGCCTTTGCATCTATCTTTGTTCATCAGTTTATAATGGTCTTTTTTATCCATAAATGAGTGAAATCATGTGGTATTTTTCTCGGCTTCCCAGGGGCTGTCGCAGCCTCGCAGGGGCTGTCGCAGCCTCACAGGGGCCGTTTCGTCCTCACCGGGGCCGTCTCAGCCTCACCAGGGCCTTTTCAGCCTCACTGGGGCCATTTCAACCTCACCAGGGCCATTGGAAACTTCTTGAAGGTGCCAAATGGATGGGAAACTGAGACTTGGGTAACACAGGGTACTGTATTAGTCTCCTGTGCTACTGTAACAAATTACCACAAACTTGGTGGCTTAAAACAACAGAAATTTATTTTTTCATAGTTTTGGAGGCCAGAAGTCTAAAATCTGTTTCACTGGCCACATTCGAGAAGCTGGCAGGGCCACACTCCCTTTGGAGGCTCCAGGGAAGAATCTGGCCCGGCCTCTCCAGCTCCTCCTGGAGAAGGAAATGCTGCTGGCATCCCCTGGCCTGTCCAGGGTGCATCGCTCCAATGTCCACCTTCTCCTCTGTGGGTATGGGTGTCACATCTCCCTCTGCCCCTCTCTTATAAGGACACCTGTGATTGCATTTGGGGCCCACATGGATAATATAGGACAATCTCTCCTCAAGATCCTTAATCACCTCTGGAAAGACCCCTTTTCCAAATAAGGTAACATTCACAGTGTCTAGGGATTGGGACCTAGTTATCTTTAGGGAGCCATTGTTCAGCCTAGCATAGGTTTCAGGTCTGGGCCTTTCCCTGCTGTGAAACTCACCCAGGCCTAATGGTTCTCCATATGAGTCCTTAGCTTGTCTTTTTGTCTCCCATTCAAAACTCTAGTATGGATAAGATTTTTGCTGGGAGAGTGGAGCCAGGTTGCTTGGTAATGACAGGTCTCTTTTTTTGTGCAAGATTGAAATACTCATTATTTTTCTTTTTCTAGCTTAATGACAATATGCACTTTTCAAACTTCACAGGACAAATACAACCATGACTTACATTTTTACAGTTTATGTGGTTCGTTTCATAGTAACCTCATGAGAAAAAAATATTGTTTTACCCTCTGGAAAGTATTAGGACTCTTTCTTCCTTACTTCACCTCTCACTCTGTTTATTATATTGGATTCTAGAAGGTTGTAGTCCACCAGAGAAGAGTCAAACTTGAACATTTACTTATGAAGAGACTCAGCGTCAATTTCCTCTCTACACCTTAATTTTCTGATTTGAGATGTAGAAATTGACAATAACATAAAAGTTTTCTGGGGATTAAATGGGACAGTAGTCAAAATTCTCAGTACTGTGACTGGCACATATTAAGTTCTTGATAAATATTCTCTTCTCTGCCCATTTATTCTTATTTTTTTTTAATGGGGGGTGCATTTATTACTTCTATTTACTGAGCATCTGCCCCTAGAAATCCAAGGTTTTATGGGCAATAAATCCTGACCTCAGAATTTGACACATGGGGCTGAACACACAGCAAAGATTCCAAAGTAGTCAAGCCACAGTCTTTTCCTTGGAAGTGCTTGAAATTTTGATAGAAAGACTTCTATTGGTGAATACTTGGAATCAGAGTGTTCAAGTCTTCCTATGGGTCAATACG